AGCAATGATTATTTCTAATAAAGAAGATTTAATAAATGCGAAAAAATTTCTTGTAAAAGCACCTAAAAATATTATCATTCAATCAACAGAATTTATATTAACTGGTATTTTAAGACAAGAATTGGAATTTAATGAATTTAGATTATATAATTAATTTTTCAAATTCCTTTAATATGGCAAAAATATGCAAATTACTTTTATATATATATATATCTTTTAAATATTTTCAAATGAATATATATAAAATGAATACAAAATCAGAAGTACATCTTGTGTAATTGATATAATGTATCTTAATTTTGTAATATATATATATATCATGTATATATAAATATATATATGTATATCTTCTAAAAATGCTTTATAAATGTATATAAAATTTTGAATAGATTTAAATCACTGTATAAATAGAATTTTTATATTTTAAGATATAATTTATATTTTTAATACTTTTAAATGTAAGCAATATTCAATTTTAATATATAAAATACAAAAAAAAATTTTTTTAATTTGTATAAAGTCTGACATATTTGCAATGAATTTATTATATTCTACATTAACATTTCATATGGAAATGGATTTAAATTAATTATTACTTAGACACATTCTTTAATTATAAACTTTATTATTCAAAATTATACAATCATTTTTATTTAATATTTTTTACTAAACTTAAAATTGATTTTTTAAATGTAACAAAAATTTTTCATAATATGAAAAAAAAATGCATTCCCCTTAATATTCACATCGAATAAAATATTTTCACATTGTCATATATATTCCTGATTTTTAAATTGAGCAATTGAGTTCCAATATCAACTAAATAAAATATTTGTAATCACTTAAATGCACAAAATTTAGAAAATTTGTACAGTGTATATAAATTTAATACAGATATATCTGTATACTAATGTGTGATGAAAGTTCCAGATTCAGGCAATTCTGGATTAAAAGTAATCTAATTAGGAAATAGTTATATATATTTTAAAATCACAATATATAACATGAATAATAGTAATAATTGTAAGATAATATTTGTACTAAATACTAATTATCTTATCCTAAGTAAAAATTTATGTTTAGTAACTAAATGCATTACTAAGAATAAAAGAAATGAAAAAATTGTTATCATATTCAAAAATGTTCAAGAAATTTTAATTAATTGGAATTGACAAATACTTTTTTCAAAAACAGCAACTTCAGGGCAGAACAGTAACCTCTGAGTTCCTAAAACAAATAATAAATCATTAATATTAATCAAAAATATAATATTAAACAATTGATAAAAAATTATTTTAATAATAAATTATTCTCAAATAAATATTATTTTTCAAGAATTTATATTAATACTTTCAAATATAATAAATATTCCTATATATTTTTTTATATATCATTTTACAAAAGTAAAATTTTCAAGAAATGAGTCACCTTTAAAATATTGCGCAGTAGATAAAAAAAAAGAAGTAAAAAAATTTTAATAAATCGTTATAATTAACAAACGTATATTAATAATACGAAATCGAAAATATAAATAATTAATTTCAATTTATTTATTTTCAAATGTATCAAGAAATATGATAAATGTACTTCTACGATTTAAAATTACTTGTGAAAAAAAAACAAGAATGTAAACACATACAAACTCGGCCAAGGTTTCAGACTTTCCGGTTGCATTCAAATCAATAACGTAACAAGCAATACGTATCGTTAACAATTACGTCGCAATTAAAAAATTGTTACTTACTGTTTATGCTTTAGTCTTTCCAACATTTCGCTTATTATGTTCAGAATTCATCAATTTAGTAAGGATCTTTCTAGAATGGCCGCACGGATCAAAATGATTCGTATGTGTAAGAGCTTCGCGTTTGCTTCGTTGTTTTCCACTATGACCGGTAAAGATATGTTTGTCGTAATCGTAATTGAAGTGCTCGTATTCGTCAACGTAATAGTCAGACATAGCTCTTGTTTTCTGAAAAAGTATTCAAAAAAATAATAGCGTAGAATGCAAACGAAAAATCTCTCCTTATCACACGTTTACTTCAAACTATTAGGACACCGTTGATTGCAACTGTTATATAGGCTACCAAAGAACTTCTACGCAAGCGCAACATCCAGTAGTGGCTCTAGTATTTTAAATGCCTGATATAAGAATTGTTTTAGCAAATTAAATCTCTCTTTTCATTTATTTTTTATTTTAATCCAATTTTTCATTAAATTTTTCTAAAATAAAAAAATAAATTTTAACTTTTCTAATAAATATTATTAAATAATATTAAAATTTAATAAATGAAAGTTTAATAAGATCATATATCAAAGAACTAGAATTTAAAATTTCTAAAAAAATATTCTTGTTAATATTCTTGTTAATATTCTTGTTTGTATTAATCGCAGATATTAATATTTGCAATCGTTAAAATATAGTTTATTTTATAAATTACTTACTATTTAATACTTCAATACTTTTTATATTTTTAAATAATTTAAATATGAATAATCTTGCATGTTAAAATGTAACAATCTATGAACAAAAATAATTAATTAAGCTCATGTAATTATACTAGAAATTTATATACAAATTTAAAATATGTAATTTCATGATATATAGACAGCCCTGGTAATATATCTTTCTCCTGTTTTAAAATATTAATATTGATTCAAGTTTTCATATATTTGAATTTAGACGTAACTTTGTGGAAAATGTATGCTTGTATAGCTCTAGATTTATATATCAAATTTCTGTTATATGATATAATCTGTATGTTTGACAACAAACAATACATTGATCCATTACGCACGCGCAATCAACGTCTTGTTACAATGACTTCTAGAAGTATCCCTACCACTATAAACAAAATGTCGACGTATATTTTGCACTTATCGTGTTCACTGACATATCTTAAAAGATATAGAAAGAATGTAAAAATATTCACTTGCGGTATGATAAAGCAATTGGTCAAACATATTTTTTATTTTATATATTATAGAAAAATGATGTAAGTTAAAAAATATAATTTATAGTGATGAAATTTCAGATTGATTATCTTGAAACCGACTAAATATCGACTCAATATCATTTGAATCCAAGTAAGTTACCGAAAAATCTGTCCTTATTATTAATTATCCTTATTAATTAAATCCATATGTATGAAAAAATATAAATTATGCTTACATAATATATATATCTTTTATATTATACATTTATATTTATATATCTTTATGCAGTGTTAGATTATACATAATATCTATATTTACATTGTAATTGTAATAATAAAACACAGATTTTTTTTTATCTTATTCATTATAATTTATAGATTTATTTTTAATTTCAATTTATTCACAATTTATTAAAAAAATATTTAAATATTGTTATAATATAATATATGAGAAATATTTTGAAAAAAAATGAGAAAAGAATTTTAAAATTTAATAGATTTTAAAATCGATAATGGTTTTTACATTTTTTTTTCTTATTGAAAGTTGTTATATGTTGATAACGAATTGTGATTAATATGTTATTGACAGGAATATTGTGTTTTTTAAAATTATTTATAAAATATTGTTCAAGTTTATAATAATAGAAATTACAATTCATTTAATTTTGAGATTTGACATATATATATCATCCATACATAAAAATTTATACGCAGTATGTCAAATGAAAGGTCAGTCGAAACTACTATCGAACTACTATTCGTAAAATTACAATCGATTGAAAGGATATCGCATACATATAAAATTCCGTTAATCAAGTTGATCAATAGCACACAAATAGAAATATCGACAAAAATAAATATATATCAACAATGAAGCTGCAAAAGTTCTTAACACAATATATTTCAATTAACATTAGAAACTGTTAAGTAAAAAAATGAAAATTACTTTCTTTAAATTTCTTTCTTTATAATATAATATATATATATATTTAATATTATAATATTATGATATATTTTTAATATATTCTTTATAATATAATATAATAATTTTTTATAATATAATGGAATATCATATTTCAAATGGAATTAAAAAATATTATTACAACTTATTTTTTGAGTTAATAATATTTTTAATTATAATTTGTTTTTTCAAACTCCTTTTTCAATAAGAGATATGTGAATGATAATTAATAATTTATAATAATTTATATCCATAATATATAATTCATATAATATATTATAATAATGAATATATATTTAGTCAGTATAATATACATTATATATTTTGCAATTTGAAAAATTAGAAATTAGAATTAGAAAATATGAATATATAATAATTTATAATTTCTCCAAAAATATTTATAAAAGATATTTTGATAATTTATTGAATTATAAATATAACCAATATATTAGTAACTATATAGTATTATATAATAACTATATATATTTTATGCAATGTAGTATTTTATAAGAAATTTTTATGTATTTAAATAAATATATAGAGTACATTATTGATCGAAGTCTCGAATATGTATATATATTAAATTCATATTCCTCAAATAACTTAGATTATCTAGATTTAAGATATATAAAGAAAATATAAAATAATTTTCAAGGTTATATTTCATTATTCAAAAAACAATTTTTATTTTAAATTACTTCATAAATAATATTCTAAATTGATTGCATAATATTTTTAACTTTTTTGTAAATATTAATATATCATCCTTTTAATAAATCTTGTAAAAAAATATGAGATTCATTGTTATGCAGTTTAGTTGTTACTTAATAGCGGAAACTTTACATATGAATTTCCGCATGGATCGATAATGATAGATAGAATCTTATTCAGTTGAGTAAAGTTTTCTAAAATCTATATTGCAGTTATTCACTCAACTAATCAGAATAATTATGTTGCAATTATAAGCATATAACAGAATATTTTTACCAATAATTATATAAAAATTTTCTAAAGATTATTAATATTATTAATGATTAATGATTTTCAAACTAAAGTCTGTGAAAAAAAAAATCAGATATAAAAAAGTAATATATGTAAAAGTTTTATTGAAGAATTTTAATTTCGCATAAATTAACATAGAACAAATATCACAATATATTTTATCATGGAAAATTTCTCTTTAAAAGAAGTTTTATAACTTTATATGTATAACGTTATATAATTTTAAGATCAAATGTTGAAGAGTTTAATACTAAGAACTCGAACAACATTTATGATCAACACTTGTTAGCGATTTATATATTGGAAGATAGCATTTGTGTTTCACTCATAATTATTTATTTTAATAAAGTTTAATCAAGTCCATATACGTCTCCTCCTTTTCGGTAATCCGCATTTGCATATACTGTATTGTTTTCGGTAAAAATGACACAAGCCACACTACCACGAACTCTATAACGAGAAGTTACATGCCCGAATTTTTGCAAATTATCAATTACTGGCTTTGGCACGCCGTATTCGTAATTCATCTCTGGTGGGAATAACTGATGGTGTATTCTAGGAGCGTCTACAGCTTCCTTTACCGTTTGATTCATCCATATGATCTTAGCTATTATCTATAGATAATTCATTTTAAAAAATATATTTGATAAAATTAATTTGTTAGGATTAAATATTTAAAATATTATATGAAAATGAAATATAAGAATTAAAAGACGAAAAAAATAAGTCACAGAATGATAAATAAAGATTTAAATTCAATTAAAATAAAACGAAATAATTTCTTTTCATCATATTTTAATTATGTTATTAATCATCGAATGATATTTATGAAATATACAAAATAATAATAATAATAATCAATTGATAAATGCTGACCTGAGAAACTGTTGTAGTAATTTTAGTACCACCAGAAGCACCGATGACCATTCTTACATCGTCATTTGAGTCGACAAGAATTGAAGGTACCATAGAAGACAATGGTCTTTTCCCCGGAGCGATATAATTGTTCGGACTGGGTGGAATTCCAAAGTAACTAATTGTTGATGGTATACCAAAATCGTTCATTGCATTATTTAATAATATTCCGGTATTTTCGCTGACTACTCCGCTTCCGAAACTAATAAAAACATAATTTTTTTAATTTAACATTGTTCATTTAATTTATTGTGATACTAATTCTAATTAAAATTAATTAAGAGAAAATTTTATATAAAAATTTCATGTTTGCAAAGTAAACATACTAGAAATTAATAGTACTAGTAGCTGATACTGCATCTCCATTTGGAGCTAATACCGAAACATGGGCAGTCCCATGATCTTTTGCATTGCTTATTGTGTGTGCTCCATAATGCGCGGAATCATTCCAAGTTTTATAATCATCTATCATCATTTGTGTCTTTTTCGCATGAATCTTTGATGTCAAGTTCTTTGTTAGCTTAAATAAAATGACATTAAAAATAATATATATATTAATAATATTACAAATTTAATTTTATACTAAATTTTCATATAATAGTATTTCTTTTTAGAAATTTTAGAATATATATATATGTATATATTTATTTCTAAATTTGTGATATATATATAATGAGCTCCGAAATAATAGAGAATATATTTGTTTATTAAATTGCAGTGTTTACTAACTTCTTTCATATCAACAAATTCTTTATCACCCATATCATTTCTTAACGCGTAAGCGTATTTAAACGTTTCTATCATTCGATGATATGTAAGAGTAGTTCGATTAAAATCAGCTATACTATCACGTGTAAAATTAAACCTGTCGAAGATATTTAAAATATAGGTGAGAATAGCTCCACTCGCAGGCAATCCGACTGTAAATAATTTCATTCCATTAGTGAGATTTGATACAAGAGGTTCATCCCACGTTACTCTAGAAATAATTTCAATGATTAAAATATGCAATTTTTTACAAATTGCAATTCATTATTGATAAATAATTTGTATTTTAATTACCTATAATTATTTAAATCTTTCATTGTTATAATGCTTCCTTTATCTTGTAAATCTTGTACCAAAAATTTACCTAATGTTCCATTGTAAAATTCTGAAATCCCTTTTTTTGCAATTATCTGCAAAGTTTTGCAAAGTATTTTTGGTTTAATAATTGTTCCCGGTAAATAAAAATCATTTGTTTGTGGATCTACAAATAATTCTCTGAAATGAAAAAAAGCATGTAACTTTTATTGATTTTATAGGTAATCAATTATGAAAATCACACGACGTTTACTTTAGAACACGATCTTTATAAATATTTTTTGCGTTATATTTGAATCCGTCGTGTTGAATTTTTGTCAAATTATATCCTTTTTCACATATCTCGATCGAAGGACTGAATAAATCAGCCCAAGGTAATTTACCGAAACGTTTATGAGCTTCCCAGTATCCTGCCAATTCTCCAGGAACAGCAATAGCCAATGGACCTAATATATCAATATAAAATTTTTTATTATTTTTTATTTTATTCATTAAAAAAAAAAAGAAGAAAGAAAAAAATAAAAAAAAATAAATTTACCGAACATCGATGCTTCCTGTGGTTTACCATTATACATTGTAGCATTTGCAGCTAATGGAGCACGATCTCTTGCAGTTAACGTATAGGCACGCTTAGAAGCTTTATCATAAATTGTCATGAAAAATCCACCTCCAATGCCCATACTTTGCATATTTACGAGACCATTGCAAATCATTGCCGAAATAGTAGCATCCACTGCTGATCCATTTTTTAATAGAATCATCCTGTGAGAAAAAATTTATTAATAATTCAATTGTATATATAATTTAATGTAATATAACACAATTTTACATACTTGCCCACAAGTGCACATGGTGCTCCATCTGCACAAACAGCACCATGTTTAAACATTTTTAATTTACTCCATGAAGGGGGTAATGGTAGTTCCGGATCGGGTGGTATTTCTTGGGTTTTTACATTTCTGGCACCATAAATAGTGCAGATTGCTATTATTGCAAGAATCAACGTGGTTAATATTATTCCCGCTATTACAATATTTCTTGTAGTAATGTAAGATCTGAAAATGGGAAAGAAAAGAAATAAAAAAAAATAAATTATCTTTGAAACTTTTTAATTAAGTGTTAAATCAATCTATAAAAAAATAATGATAAAATAAAATTATAAAATGTTTTTTTATTTCTTATTTTAGGTGCCAATAGCAGAGCATATTATAGAACATAAAATTTTGTTTGAAAAAACTTAAAAGTAAACAAAAATCAATATGAAATCAAATTCATTGCAAAATTTATATGCAATTGTCGATAAACATAATATCTTGTCCTAATCTGGAATTTTATACAGAATATGTATAATAAATTTATACATATTAATTTAAAAAATCAAAGTTGTGCGTAGAAGTTGTAAATATTTTATAAAATATTTTATAAATTCGCGCGCGGTGACTTGCGCAAAGCGGACTCACTTGTCAATTCGCAGCCTCGCAAAGAATCCTCTTGCTTTGCTACGATGAGGTGAGTACGAGCGCAATAGCCGAGTTGTTCCGATGTCATCCGAATCGAAGAAATTTTGTTTATCGTTACTATAGTACTGACGATGTTCGTCAGTACTAGCATACGCGGAACTGGTACTGGATGAGGGTGAGGAAGTCATATTTTTTCTCTGCTACAAAGAGCAATGATAAAATGTAATGTTAGCGATTTTTTTTATCGACCAACATCGACGATAACTGTTACCAAAACGTCAAACGAACAATTATCGCCATCTTTGAACGATTCAACTAAACATATCGTGATGTAACCACAATCACACTTATATAGATAAAGTTTCTTTTGTTGGTGCATTATTTAACACTTACTGTTAGAGACAAACGATTTTTGATCACCATTCACATTCACTTTTCTCACACCGACCTCTTTTTCGTTTTATCGAGGACTCTTGATCCATATCGTTCATGTTATCAGAGAAATTTGTTCGTCGAAATTCATACGAAAGATTAACCGCATCGTCCGAAGATGAACAGCACCAGCTGACCGGAGAAAATCAATCTGAGTTTGCGCATTTCTCGCCACTAGTGCAGAATTGTTTCCTGAGTTAACGTCACGTGCACATGTATCATTCCTAATTTGAAAAATTTGACAAGTAAAACAAACAACTGTTGCAATTTTTACATAATTTTACATAACTTTTTTTTACATAATTGTTGCAACGATTATTTTTTATTTTTCAAGTCTTTCTTTCGGTACAGTACAAATAGATAATGTTTCAAGATAAAGTTTAAATAGTATAAGTAAAATGAAATATAACTATTTATAGAGAAAATCATATATCATTCTGTATTTATATACATTATCGAATTTTTTAGCCAAATGAAAAACAAAGTTATGTTATTAAACTAAATATTATACAAAATTTAAAAGAAAAATTCTTAAAGATCTGATTAACTGATTATTGTAAAATACATATAAAACATATGTTTAGATTATAAAAAATATATAATGCTTATTAAATATTCAATTTTATATTCATTCGTTATATCATAAAATTTTTATGTTGCTTTACGATATGATTTTATTGTTTGAAAAACGATAAAAAGTTTATTTAACCTATTTTATAGTGGTAATCAATATTGGATTTGTTATATCTTATTTATCTTTTCTATATAATTTATAATTTTTATTCAATTTTTCTTATAATAGAAAAATTAATTTTATTATTATAAAAGAGAACGATTAAAGAAAAGTTCGTGTAAAACAATGTGTAAATAAATATCTTTTAAGAAGTAATATCTAGATCGCATATACACATATAAACTGGGATCAGGAATTAGCATGCAATTGCGATAATTTATAATTATTATAAGAATATAATCATTTTATACCAAACAAAATTTTGTGTTAATAATATTTCATATTATTTATTTATGATTACCTTAATATTTTTCGAGTATTCCGCATATCCTGCAAACTGTTTCTCCTCGGCATTTTCTCCACAAATTCGATACTTTCAGAAGCACTACGTTGCTCAATCGTCATCTGATACAATTCATTTGATCACTTCGTGGAAAGCCTGAAAATTTAAATTTAAACAACAATAAACAATAAGTGAGATCGTGCATGAGCTCGAACCACGTGTTGTCAAGTGAAGTGACGGGTTTACATATTTATGAGGAAGATAATCGGCTACATAAAAGATTGTTCGACACGTATTTGCAACTAATACTAAGCATCGTAATAACGCGAAAATCGCTACGATTGCGTGATCCTAAATACGGATCAATTAGCGATTGAAGCCTATACGTATAGCTTTTCAAAGCAAGATTTCCATGCCGGTTACAAGCGATCACGAGCTCAATCAAATCTTTAACACGGACATTCCCCCGTTCTTCCCCCGTTATCCCAATCATTAAACGTAATAACAACAATAATCCTCGTTCGTCCCAATTCTAATCGTTATCCACGAGAAAAGAATCACGTTTAGAAAGATCTTTCAAGTTATCGCGAATATTTCATTATTAATACCTTTCTTCGAAGTACACTCTTCTCTTCACCAAAATATTGATCGAACGATCATCATCCTACGATCACTTGTCGAGTGAATCGCGCGAAATTAATCGACGATCGAACAAATCTCACGAATTCTCGAATAAATTTGAATGAAACGAATCAACGATCGAGCGAAACAAACGTTTCGTCACATGAAAACATCGAACGCGTGTCGCTTCGCAGCAATGTTTCATCGAGCTGTGCCCCGGCCGGATCGTCGGTCGACTGCCGATTTAACTCGCGGCGAAAACGTTTCGAAACGTGTTTGCGGGATACGCCCAAGACAGAGAAGGGATTGTTATTTTTTGCTTGCGCGCAGACCAATTTAATTCCCCTTATTTCCAGATGATAATTTTATAGCGTCTGGTGGTAGCAATGTGTCTGTCATTGAAAATTTTTTCTTTATTTCTACGGATAAATTAATTTCGGCAGTTTAGCTCTTCTTGTTCCATCGAAACGATCCTGCGACGAATCTTCGCTTAAATCTGTTACAAGTCCCTCGACTCGAGTTCCAACACAATGTCCAATAATGATTGAGAAAATGTCGGGTTTAATAGTCGAGTACCTTATTAAATGACGAACTTTAACATCCTGTACAATGCACCGTTGTTACGTGAGCACTTGCTAATAACATTAGTATATCGATTTTTTTCTTTTCCTTAACAAGCACTTAAAAGTAAAATAAAAAAAAAGAGGTAGATGGAATAATATAAAATACAAAGGATGAAAAGAATAATTGTTATCGATGATAATTTCCTGATAATAAAGACGATCGTTTTGATCTATTTTATCCATGTTTGTTTATTTATTTTAAATAATTATCTCGTATCTTAGAATTTATTTATCATCGATTTTCAAATGGAAAATGTTACGAATTATCTAAAGAAGAATCAATAAGATCCAGGGACGATGTTCTTTTTTTTTTCAGAATATTTTTCCATTTTATTTGCACTAACGACGTACACTCAAACATCATTTAGATCGCGATATTTTAATATCATTAACATTAATTTCAACACGCGATACCTGACAAAAATTTTTCTCGCCGGAATGATGAAATACATTTGTGTTCCGTGAACAAGAAATTCAACGAACGGCGATATCGCCTCGTTATTTTCTAATTGACGAATCCAAAAGCAAGTAAACACATACTCTGGCTTATTACGCAAACTTGCAACATGACAGTGCATCAAGATTTTCGCAGAATCGATCTCACTCTTTGTAACATCGTAATATATTTCTTTCCGAGAATAATAGGGAAATATTGTGTATCTCAAACATCATAAAAAAAGGAATGTCGATTCTGAAAGAAATTTCACGGATATGTTACAAATTAATCGTTTAAATCGAACAACATTTTTTTTTTTTTCTTCTAAAATTTTGTTCTCGTGTACAACACTCGCCTACTGCTTAAAAAACAATAAATAATTTTCTTCTCCATTTTCAACGATTCTTAAAAATAAGAACATTTTGAACTTGATTTACGTTCACGCATTCGCGCACGCACATACACACATACACACACGCACGCACGCGCATATATACATACGTTAAATTCGTCCATCGTCTACAAAATTCGAAACATCAATTCCAATAACCACCAACATTAATATCATTTAACTCTTTAGGTGATTGTTTGCTACACCTAATTGCAAGTAAATCCACCGTGTCGGTGCAAACACAGTGGTTGGCCATTGATTGTACAAATTTGCTAGGTAAAAAGTGTCCGTCTCTTTGATAACGTGTATCTCTTCTCGTGTATAGTATATCATCAACGTAGCTTATCGTTTGCTATCAATAGACTCGCATCAACGACCGCCCACATTAACTGATCTACGCATCAATGATTAAATTTTTTCGATGAGTCCCTCTCTTCCCAACTTCCTCATTCCCATTTACAGTTCCAATCCAATGCAAATTTTTCTCGTTCCTCGTTTCCTCATAATCATCCACAAGGATGATTCTTCTAAAGTTTTTCAAAAATTATCTTAATATTTTGTTCTCTAAATATTTTTTTCTATTAATCACTTCCACACTTTTCTTGAAATACTTGGAAAAAAGAGAGAAACAAGAAAGAAAAACAAATTATACGTAAAAAGATGATATCAAATAGAAATATTACCTATTTTATCCATATTAAAATGAACGTCAATTTCACACACTTATTTATTTATTCGATCGAATTATGCGCTGTAAACGGTAAATTAACTTTCGTCAATATTTAATATTTGCTCTGTCAAATATATCTGTCTTTTATCATTAAACCCATTAATTAGGAACATCATCAAATTCGATGAAAGAAATTATTGGCCATCACCTCTTAACATTAACACGATGGCAATACTTCTTTAAGTCTCCGTAACTTTTATATATATATATATGTATAGCCATGATCAACTTTCTTTTCTTTCCATAAAGGGGGTCGAATTTTTCATTTGAGATTATATCGGTTTTTCTTGCGATTATCGTAAGAAGACCGCGAATTTTCTCTCGTTAACGTTGCTCTTTCGTGATTTCTTTCGTTGGAAGTATAAAAATATAATTTCAGGATATGTCGATACATTGCGGCTGAATATCGAGCACGTCCAACTTCCTCTCCATTATTATTACGGAACCATTGTTCAAGGGCCAATCTCAAAATCTCAAAATATATTGAATTCTTAAAAGAATAACAGAATCCTTTTGATCCAAACTTGGAAGATCACCAAGTGGTCTCGAAAGGATTTCGAACACGTTGAGAGATCGGTGTATATCGATGTATACAAATTATGCAAGAGGAGGAGGAAAAGAAAAAAAATGATAATAAATTAGAAACGGTGAGAAATGACAAGTTCGATGGAAACTTAAGATGACGAGGTGAGAAGGGGCCTTCTTTGAGCGGTCTCCTTGCAATCCTGAGGGACGTCCGGTTTTCGAATCGTTTTCGATTTCCGCCTTAATTGGTTGCACTTTTCTGCCTCTGTTTCCTCCTCGATCGTCTCAAAATTATCCTCTTCCATGCTCTTGTCCGCCATTTCCTTCGACTCGATCTCGTCGACGCTGCTCCAACTGTTGTCGCTTTCGCTATGCTCCCTCTCTTTCTTCCCACCGTTCATCTTTTCCTTCTCTTTCTCCCGACAGCCTCCGTTTTCCTGCGCATATCATTCGTTACGGTGAACATTAAGCAATAAGCGGTTAATTTTGTAGAAACCAACGCGTGTGAAATTTCAGTATCGTTATCGAGGTGGAAAATTACATCAATGATTGCATTACTTTACATTTATGTGACATATACATGGATAATTTGAAATGTTTACTTTACGTGTGAGTAATTTGAAAAAAAAGTTTAGTTATTAAAATGAATAAAAAAAATGTTCGATTGATATAAATTAAAAAAAAAAAAAAAAGAGACTATACTCGATAAAAATGTACATATTTTATTTGTGTCAGAATTTTATTTGCATATTAAAAAGTGACAAAATAATTTGACGATGAACGAATTGGAAATTATTTAAAATTTTGGCTTGGTTAAAATTTTACGAATGTACTTAAAAATTATTCTTCAAAATAATGTTCCGCAAAACAAATCTCGATCTATCTGTTTATTAGGATTAAATTGTAAAAAGATTCTGCTTATTTCAATTACATCAATTACTCAACGCTTCTTTTACATCATCTTTTAAAAAGTAATCAATAAGACTTATATAAGCAATATTAAAAATCATAAACAATCAAAGAAAAAAAAAATGCGAACAAAAACAAAACTTTACCATGGTATGTAAAATAAATTATTGAATAAAATAAAATAATCAGAATGAATGGGAAAAATTCTTTCCATCTCGTTCTCTTTTTATGATGGAAAACATATTCCGCCTTTAATTCATCGAAAAACCGTAACATGTGCATAAGATTTGTGATATTGAGAATATCGTCCAATACGCGTGCAATACATTTCGACAAAAAGATGCTTGTATCCGGTTGTGTGGCGTCCTTCGACTCGCATACTTACTTACCACGGTGGTCAATTTGCTGGGCATCGTGGTGGTGGTTGTGGTGGCCGTCGTGTCCGTGGTATCGCTGCTCTCGCTGTTATTGCTGGGTCTGGCGCCAACAAGAAGGGCCCCCTCCTCTAAATTTTTTCCACGAACGAGTCTTCTCGATGCAGACCACATGTCCGATGAACTCTTAGCATTGGCCTTGGCGAGTTTCTGCGCGACGCCAGTCGTCCATACACTGGCCTCACTGCTGCCCGTGCTGCTGTCGCTTCCGGTACTGCAGTGCCGCCATCTTCGTTCTGTTCGACACGCACAAGCGAAACGTAAATCTCTTTCGCGCAAATAATGATAGAAAGCTTTTCTCTTTTTCTCAAAAATACAAAAATACAACATAACTACGTGTATCATCGAGCATTTTTCTCGTCGAAAAATATCGAGAGAAAAAAAAAAAACAAAAATTTAGAAAAATATAAATACACACTATCACAGGGAAGAGCATTGACTAGAAAAGGTTTCCTCAGCATTGGACTTCCACCATCTTGGCTATCCTCGCTGCACGCTCTCGTTATAAGTATTCTAGGGCTTCTTCTAGGTGTCTCGTTCATCGCTATGGAGCAACCAGCGCCCACGTCCGCACCTATGAAGTCGCTTCTGTAATGCGGGCCCATCAGGCTCGCCGCACTAGCGCTCGACCTCACTAATTTACTGCTTTCACCTGTGTCACAAATTATAGCCGTTTATTATCACGCGGCAGGCCGGCGTTATCAGTAACAATAACCTGATTCGGAAGTTGGGACTCGAAGCGTATTACACGAAGCGGCGGGTTGCAATCTGGTTCGATGAAAGCCGAGATTATTGCTGTCGAAGCTGTTTCCGGTTCTGCAGGATCCCAACGCGAGCAGCGCCTCGCTTAGCCTTCGCTGCAACGGCGGGAAAGGGAAGAAAGAGCCGGTTCCGCTTCCGGACGGTCTTCTCGATCCCGCCGCGCTCGGTGTTCGCGCTTGGATCTCCTGAATTTAGAATTGTGATCGTCTTTCGAATATTGTAAAAAAGAAGAAGAGGAGGAAGAAGAAAAACATAGAAGATGATCTTTTTTTTTAAACAAAACGCTCTTGGATGGAAAATTCATGTTCTCGTGATTACTTGTTGCAGCTCCGATTTGGTAGCCTTCTTCCGCCAATAATTCTGCACCGATCGTCTAAGGGTCTGCGATTTTAATCCGTAGAGGAGGCCGTTGATGGGCGGAGAACAGGCGAGCAGGAGGGAAGCCAACGAAGCGAGTTTCGTATGATTGTAGAGATACTGCCGATTCCCAACGTCGCAAACTTCCCAAAGAATCAGTCCGCAATAGGGGAAATAAAGCAAGTAAAGAGAGCCAAC